ACGCGCTTCCCGCCGCGGCGGATCCGGTCTCACGCCAAAACCCTTCGGCTTCAGGGGGCCGAGTTAACTAGGATACCAAAAACTACAAAACATCGTTTAAAGAGACACACGCAGCTGAACTCTGAGCTTTACAGGGTGGATTTAAAAACAGGAAATAGAGACGATTTTCAGAGTGAAATAAAAGAGCAAATAGAAACTAAAACAGCTAAACCGCTTTTTAAAATTTAGCCTTGATATTAAATATTTAATAATCTGAATTCTTAAAGTATGAAAAAACAGATATTTGTAAAAAAGGGAAACATTTTTACTAAACAAACACTTTGAGGAATTTCAGTGTGAAGCTGCAGATGTTTAATTTAGACAAAAAAAAGGAAAGAAAAGAAAAAGGAAGGGAGGAATAAAGGATGGAGGCAACAGGGAGAAAGAAAGGAGGGAAAGAACAAAAGGAAGAAAGGATGGATCCAAGAAAGAGAACAAATAAAAAGATGAATAAAATAATGGATGCTTTCATCCATTCTTTTGGAAGAAAGAAAGGACAAAGGGGAGAAAGAAAGAAAAAAGAACAAATATTTGGAAGAAAGCAAGAAAAAAACAAGGAACAAACGAAAAATGGACAAATGCAAGGATGGAATAAAGAAAATGGACCAAATGTCAAAAGGAAGAAAGAAAGGACAAAAGAAGAAAGGAACAAATGGAAGGATGACAGGAAAGACGACGGTGGAAAACAAAAGCGATTTTGAAAAGAGCCGGTCAAATCAGTGGAAAGTCAGCGGAGCAAAAACAAATCTGGGATTTGTATTTAGAACAAAAACCAGGTAAGCCTCTCATTCATCGGGGGTTTCTATTGTTGCTCTAAATAGACACAACCTGCCCGCTCTGCTTGCACCTGGCACCAGAAGAAGAAGAAGAATCAGCCTTTTGAGGGCCGGGTGAAAGCAGAGCGAGCGGCGAACAAAATGGATCGCACAACTACAAAACATCCCATTTTCAACTCCATTAGCCCTCCCTCACAGACGCCACACTGTTGTGCTTTTTGCCACTTCACATGATTAATCACGTGCAGCGGCTGAACTGCAGGCAGCGTAGATGAATGTAGGAAGAAATAACACATCGACACACACACACACACACACACACACACACACACACACACACACACACACACACACACACACACACACACACACACACACACACACACACACACACACACACACACACACACACACACACACAGGTGAGGGGGAGTCAAAGAGACCTGCTGACATCTGGTTTGAGTCTGTCATGGAAACCGCTCAGAGTATTTATGGAGCAGCAGGGAGATTTTTATCTTCAAGAGCAAAAACCTCAAACATTTTGTTTGACGTCTGCCTGCAGATTTCTTATTTTCTAAGAATGTTGGATGGATCCACTGCAAAAACACAACAGGTACAAAATTTAGTCTAGCTGGTGTGAACATCTTAAATGGGCGTATTATGTTTTTAATCCACATTGTGTCATTTTTTTTGTTAGCATTGAGCATCGCTCTCTCTTCAGCCTGAGTTTGTTGACAAAAGCCAAGTGCTAACAGCAAAACGTCCAATTTTCAAGTTGGGCCCAGGGGGATTTCACTGATTCATGACAATGCCCGGGTTTTCATCGTTTATCGCATCATAAAACAATCATTGCATGTGTAAATTTTTTTGCACAAGCTGCAGAAACATTTGATCTTTTCCACATTTCCAACACATTATGACCACAAACTTCAGTGTTTTTTTATTTTATTTAAGGTGTAACTAACCCGAATCGGTATCAAACGATATTAAACCTCAGATATCAGTATCGGTATCGAAAGTGAATAAATGAATCAATGCATCTTCGATTCAGCTGGTAGAGACTTTTAGCTGCAATTCTGGCAAAAGGTGGTTTTATAAAGGATACCATGTTGGAGAAAAAATACAAAATACATACAAATATGTGAAAATGTTCAATTTGTGTGAATTCTTTTCCAGTTCTGGTTGTGTCTGTACATATGAAGGTTTAATAAACAGGTGTTTTAATATAACTCTTCCCCTCATTTAAGGCTTTTTGTTGTAGCTAAAGACAAACAAGAAATGCACCAAAACTTGAAGATTCTGGGAACAAAATGTTTCCATGCTTCTCTGCTGCAAAGGAAACAGCTATAACAGTTACATTTCAGGCTCTGCTGTCAATCACACATCACATAAAACTAAAGGTTGCTCAAATGCACTTCTGCTACAAACCAAAGAGGATTTCTGTCTCTCGCTGTTTGTCCCCTTTCTGCAGATTCTCGTGTGGCTCTGTTTATTGATTACACAGAACAAGCCTCTCAAACTCCTTCTCTCTGCTGGAGGCGAGCTGCTCTAGGCTTCATTATCAGCTACCTGCAGAACTGTTGGCAATCAGCTTGAATTATGGGCAACACAAGAGCCAGATTTTGACAAGGAAGATTAATGTTTGGAGTTAAAATCAGGCGACATCTCTGGTTGAGGCCTCTCGTCGTGATAAGTTGGAGTAAGAGCAGGAAAATGACTCCTGCGTGTTTGTGGAGGTCACTGCGTGTTGCACGGCAGTGACAGCAGACTGTAACCTCATGCGTCCTTCCAAACTTCCCCCTATCATGTCCGAGGCAGAAAGTGATGAGTGCACAGTACTGTGGACAGCCGGGCCGCCTGGCTGCCCACTCGTCTATTCTCCAGCTTTTATTTTTTTTCCTCTGTGAAAGTGAGCCAGTGAGCAAGTGACCTTCAACCACACCCAGTGGGAAGAAGAAAAGACAAGAAGGGAAAGGAGATGAAGCAGCATGGATAGAAAAAAAGAGAAGACGACTTGAAAAGCACATACGCTATTATAAAAAAAAAAACACTGGAGTGAGGAAAATGGAAAATCTCTCCTCTCTTGGAAGCCATCGGAGCGGGGAGCTGAATCTGACAAGAAAGATGACTCTCCATCGCTCTTCTCTCCAGTCTGATTAAACCTCTCACTCCACAATAAACCCAACAGTCTGCAAGCCTCAGAAATGAGCAGAGCTGAGGACCTGAGCCTCGGCTAAAAATGTTAAAACCTTGAGGCTACGGCGATGCTATGACGTTCAAAATGTGTCTGACAAAGGAACCGAAATTGAATTCTTGAAGACGTAATGAGCCAGACGTTTCCAAAGATTCATTTTTCCCAACAAAATCTGTCTGTGAAAATTCCCAATCCTCCTCTTTGAACACGCACAAAGCCGCCAAACAGAAGTTAATCTATAACAGAAGGATAATTTCCTCGTGTGACGAAGGCAGTGAGCAGACAGAAGGAAGGCTAATTAAAGTTGTAACATCTGCTTTTGGAGCTCTAACTCTGTCTGCAGGGCAGAAACATCTTTCGCTCCACTTCCGCTGCGTCTCCTTTAAGCGATGATGGGTAAAATAAGCTTTCTGCAGAAAAACAAAAAACGGTTCTGAGAGCAGTGACGGTTTTTGACATGGGTCATGTCCAAACCTCCCGTCTGTCAGCAGGAGAAACCAGGTCGCCGGAAGAATAGGAATCCATAATGTTTGTTGAAACTCTTATTTACAAGCCTAGTTCATTAAATGCCAGAAAAGCAAATGTAATCTGAAACTGGCATTTAAAGGTGACCTATTATGCATCCTTGAACAGGTTAGGATGGCTTTATGGGCGACGCAACACATGTTTATTACATTTTTGTGCACAAAATCATAGATAATGAGGTTTTAGTCTATTTTAAGACCTTTCAGAATGAGCTTTTTTCAGGTGTCTTACCACTTTAAGTCCAAATAAAGGAGGGTGGGAGGTCCTGGCCACGCCCCCAACTCATACGTAAAAATGGCTGCCAACAGATAAACAACCATGCAACTGTACATCTTTGAAAAGCATTAGTAGAGCCTCCTGTACAACCAACAACAATTCTGCAAGTAGTTTTTGGATGGTAAGTCAACAACAAAACATTTGTCTTTTCCAGCAGCCATTGTACGGCACATTCAGTGGTAAAACCAAACAAGGGTTATTAGGTAGCGGCGCAGAGTGACTTAACAATCAGGAGCTTTTTGAAATGGCTCGTTTTCGAGACACCAAGAGCATAAACTTATTGCCAAAAAATGGCTGTTTTTTATTTTTTAGCCCAAATGCCAACCAGTAGCATTTGTTAGCCACCTGTAGCATTGGGTGCAATGTGCCAATCAAAACTATACCCAGATATTTAAAATATTTTATTTACTCGCTTCTAAAACAAAATATGTGAAGAAATCAATCTCCTCTGGATTCTTCCAGTCCTAATTGGAAACAACTAATCAGAGCCAGGAGGCAGGTTTTAGCGCTGTCAATCACTCTCCGTGTGGTGCTCCTGTACATTCCCCTTTTGCTCTCTGCTACACTGCTGCTTGCATAGTCTGAATATTAAGGCTATTTGGCTTAACCACCGATGAAGGCAGATAAACAGTTTTCCTGTAACAGCAAGTTGTTTTTCCACCAGTAACTTATTTAGCAGCATGTAGATGAGGTTGATTGACAGCGTTAATCAACCTGATACTCCTGGCTCTGATTGGTTGGTTTTAGTTCGGAGTGGTGAATTTCTTCTGAGAGCAAAAGGAGCTTGATCTTTGAACAGATTATGTGTCTCATATCACAACATTGTGACACTTTTAACAAATACGTAAAAAAATATAATAATAATCAAAATTTCATACCGCAAATTTAAATGTTCATACAAAGATATTAAAAATGCAACAAAATATAAATAAATAATAATAAGAAAAACATTTTCTGTCCCAGTTTTTTCTTTGCAACTGGAATTAATTTTAAAACAAAAATCTAATTTTTTTAATTTCAATGAGAAACTCAGTTACCATCAACATGCACGGCTTGCTCCCCATTCACGCAGGAGCCGCTCTGCTTTCATTATTTCACTGCAAGACGCTGCTCTGAAATATTCCTCCATTCCTGCTGAACTTTCCACAGCTGAGGAAGAGGAGGAGGAGAAGGAGGAGGAGGAACTGAAGGAGGGTGGGAGGTCTGAGCTTTGAGCACGTAGCCTGCTTACAAATCACCACGACCAAAACTCAGCGTGCGGGAGTTCGCCTCGCACCTTGCAGATTTCCGTCGCTCCAACGCAGATGAGGATGATGCTGCTGCTGCTGATGAAGCTCCACTTCTGAGCGACTTCCAGTCCGCTCCGCACAGCCGGAGCAGCGGGAGCAGCAGGAGCCTTCCTCCCTCCTCCTCCTCCCTTTTCTCCTCCCCCGCTGCTAAGTCAAAAGATTAACAGACCCCCACACTGCAGGGAGGCGACAGCATTCGCAGATCCGGATCCAGATCGAGCCTCTGCAGGGAAAAAAACCCCAAACCCGGAGCGTATAGAACCGAGCCGAACCGGGAAGGAAGACATCTGCGCTGAAAACGAGGGGAAATGTTAGAACTATGATACGAGTTTTTGTTCTTAATTCCTCAGCAGCTTCATCGCGGGGCTTCTCGGTGGAGCTTCACCCGGACAGTGACACTTTTATCGGCTCATCATCGACACTGAAGGAGGGAGGGGGGATCCACTTATTGGCCACCCGACTGCGCTTCTAAATCACGCCAGGACGATTGAGCCCAAGTGCAATACGAATGGTTTGGGTAACTACAACCTCACTTTTCTCTAATTTATTTACAGTTATTATGTTCGTTTTTATAACATGTTGTAAAACTCAAAGCTGCAAGGCGGCTAATGAGGGGGAAATGTGACTCTAAAACATCTGTTGATGTGGATTTGGGTCTGGAGGGAGGATTTATTGAGCTCTATTAAATTATTAGCTGTCTCGATGCCCTTGATGCTCCTCAGCCACCTGTGGTTGCTGAATTGTGCAATTTGGGGACGCCGAGCGGTGGCTGTTTATGGAGATAAACTGCAGGTGCAGACAAATGAATCTTGGCTCCAACATGGCTCTTTCTGTCCACTCGGGAGTCACCAGATATTAATAGAAAATGACTGAAAGTGGGGAAACCGGAGCATCGCTTCATCTCTGTCAGAGATTTTAGTTGCTTTCTGGATGATTACTTGAACAATGCAACACAGAGAGACAACACAAGGTTGATGAAACTGGTTCTTAGTGCTACCTGCGAGCGCACAGTAACTCATGCTTACTGTGAAATGGGCTGCCTCACCTTGTCAACAGCCGTGTCACTTCCCAGACAGCAAGAATGATGAATTTGGTCATTACCGATGAGCCCGGCTGGACAGGAGGGTTGTCAAACCTGCCTCTCAGTCAGAGCAGAATAAATTACACCGCGCAGACATGGGAGGGGAGCAAAAACACAAACAGATCTCCAGATTTCCAGGGTGAGGATTTGCAGGTGGAATAACTTAGCAGCAAATAGAAGCTGTGAACTTCTCCGCACCCACACCTCCCTCCAGGCTGGGCTTGTTCCCCGAGAAAACACAAGACACATTTAAAATTCCAATATCCACTCAATTGGCCGCCAGGAAATTCATTCAGGTTTCAGGGGATGATAATCAACCCGCTGAGAGACAAAAGGTGTCATATCCAATGAGAGGTTTCCGATCCGTCCTCCTTTACCGTCACTCTAGATCATTAGAAAAGCCCAGCCTTTGATTTCCTTCTGTAATAATCCCAACTTCTTCAATATCAACATTTTAAAAGATTATGCTTCCAAACTTGCTGAAATTTTTATCAATACCTCCTTTCAAATGTTCTCTGAATGACGTCCAGGTCAACTAGAGTGTTTTCCTCAACATGAGCCAAAATAATCACTCAAGTTTGTAAGCCACATTTCAGCAATGAGGCGGCTCAAAGTGCTTTACCTCATAAAAACAAACGTTTCTTAGTCAACAATTGAGAAATCAGTAAAGAAAACATTACATTCTGCAAACTGCCACCATTAAAATCATCAATACACGTCAAATATTTTGGTCAATGTTCCAGTTATTATGGACCTGAGAGGTCTGGAAGGTTGATAGAACAACATGAAGCCTCCAGACGTTTCCCTCGCTGAAAAGACAGAACGTGTCAAAAGTTTGAAGAAATTTCTAAAACTAAAAACAGCTGCATCTCCATTTTGTTACGATTTTTGACATTTTGAATTAATTGACACACTGCAATTTAGAAAAACTGTTTTTTAATAAAGTTTTGTTGCTATGATGCGGTATTTATTGTGCAAAACTGCAATGGAAACACTTTTTTCACATCAAGCGAGTCACAATCAATAACTGGACGTTACCACTGGCAGAAACCATGAAGAAGAAGACAGGAAGTAGCTGCAGGATGTTTGTTCATGTTTGACTTAATTGTTTTGTATTTAATGGAAACCGCAAAAAAATTGTTTTCGTTTTTTTTTTCTACATCAAACTGAAAGTTTTGCAGACATTTGCAATGAAAACGCAGCTGGGAAGTGAATGTTTTCAAACCACAATTTGAAAGCTTAGAGTTACACATCTTAAACAGCTGAGCTGAGGCAAGCAGTCCCAGATCCGACGGACAGTTTTCAGCCCAAACAAAACATAAAACAACAACAACAAAAAAACAAAACAAACAACAAAAAAAAAAAACTATATATATATATATATAATATATATATATATATATATATATATATATATTATATATATATATATATATATATATATATATATATATATGTATATATATACACATAAAGAAACTTTGCATTAAATCTTATATGTCCTGTATGTCACTGACCGGATTTACAGATGTTTCAATCCTCAATTCAAAATGTCCTGGTTGTCCTTCATTGTACTCTGACCAGAACCAGATCCGATTGGCACTGCTAAGGACGTCACTCTGGGAGCAGCAGACTAGTTTTTCTTTTTTTTGTGTCATTTTGAGTCATAAAGTTGCAGATTTCTGTTTTACTACTACATAGTGGCATTTAATTAACAAATGACTCTTAATCACTGATGATGTCATTTTTGACAGTTTATACTAATTTAAAAACAAATTAAATGAAATAAGTGCAAACAGACTGCTTTTTATGAAAATGTAAAGGTTTTGTGGCGACTATTTTTCCACCAAATGTTATGAAAAGCAACTCACTTTTATAACAATTGGAGGTAACATAGTTATTTGATTGTGTGATTAAATAACCCTGCTTTAAATACAGTTTTGGATCATCTTCCAGCAGGAAGACGTGTAAAGTTTTGGTTTCCATCACCTTAAAACTTAATATTTAATACAGAAGAGTTTTTTTCCCCTTCTGTTTCAGTGTCACTTTTTAAAGTTGCATTAAAGTTTCATAAACCTTCTGAATGTGTTCAAAAAGAAAAAAACACCATATTTTTTCTTTGCAAACCGAATCAACAGGGTTCAGGATATTTTCCCTAATCTGCAGAACATTTTTACTTTTTTCCAGTGAAATGCAGAAGCATCTCTTCTCGTTTCAGTCCTCAGTAACAATAAAGGTAGTAATTCATCACTGAAGCATCCACATGAATAAATATAACATTGCTATAGATGTATTAATCAGTGATGTTATTATAGCAGCTGTTTGAATAATAATTTCTCTGTTTTAGATTACAACTGTTCCATCACGTTTTTGCATAAATACTGTGATGCCACGAGAATCTCAAAGATGAATTTGGATTAATTCAGGCCAGGCTCGTTCAAGTGGATGGAAGTCACTTTCACTTCTTCATCACCTCCTCTTCCCTTGAGCTTATTTATGAACTATCACCATCATGCAGTAACACTTTATTAGCCATGCAGACAGCCCAGAAGGCCTATTAATCTTTCACTTACAGCTTTCCTAATCCACACATGCACCAATGTGTAAAACTCTCGGTTTTTCCTCCCAGCGGGGGATCTTCTGTCGTCTTCAATGACTCAGGAAGGACAGGAAGGCGGCGGAGCGCTTTGGAGTTAGGGATGCGATGTGTCTTCCATCAGCAAGATATCAATACACGTTTTTCACTGGCAGACTGACAATCTGCAGCTCGATCAACTGTTAGGGCACGACTGAAACCGGTAATGATTTCATATGACAATGCGATCGATCCGCTGAGGGGTTGACACTGAACAGAGAAAGCGAACCGCGCTGCTGCGCTTTTCTCTCTTTTTTTTTTTTTACACCAAACACAACAGAGAGAGAGACACCGGTCCTGTAAAGTCAATGATCATTTCTCACTCCCACAGATCGATGCTGTTTTTTATTCCGTCGGTGGTTGATGCACATTATGAGCTGTTGCAAAATTGCAGGATGAACCCTCCCTGTTCAGCCGCATTGGCATTGTCTCCGTGCAGTCACCCCGGCAGTGTACACAAAGCCACAAGACGAGCGCGTCTCCAAACAAATAGCAAGTTATCAATATTCATCTGAAGCGAGATGGGGGATTTGGAATGATTAAAGTCTGCAGCGCGGTATGAGAATAAACACGGCAGACTATTGAGGCAAAGAAAAAGCTTTGACAGGGCACCTAGCTCCCCCTGAATGTGATTAATTAATAATGAATGAGCTGAGCATTGAAAAAGAAACAAGTAGAAACTTGTGGAGAAATCTGCAAATCAAAAAGAAGCAATCTTGGGTCCTTTATGGGAAATGAAGGGTATTTAATTCAAAGAACAGTGGAGGAAAGACATAAAATAAACAGTTTAATAGGCCTCCCAGCTTGAGTCACCAGAGTGTGTTGCTCTGGCCAAAGATGAAGGGCGCTCACTGCTTCTCCTCTGCAGCTAACGTCTTTAACCATAGCAACAGGCATCAAAGTAGTTTACAGTTGGTTGAGAAATAATGCCGGAAAATAATCACGTCGTGTGCTGCACATTTGTCACTTTTACTGGAAAACAGATAGCTCAGCAGAGATGGAAGTAAGTAAAACTTTAATCGCACCTTTAACAGAAAACCACACAATGCTTTACATAAAGCAATAAGATGCAAAACCACAGAAAATATAAAACCGCAGAAATAAAACACAATAAAACTGAAACGAAAAGCCAATTTGAACAAATGGGCGTCTGAAAAAATGAGAAATTCTGAATTGATCAGCTCCGAAATCTGAGCATAGTGATGGACTCTGACCTGGACCTTCAGAAACACCTAACGACGGTTATAAAGTCAGTCTTCTACCGATTAAACATTACTTCCAGAATTAGAGGACTAATGTCTCAACAAGATCTACAGAAACTCATCCATGCGTTTATCTTTAGTCACATTGATTACCACAACAGTTTCTTCACAAAAAAAAAACAAAAAAAAGTCCTCCAGCTGCAGCAGATCCAGAACGCTGCTGCTGGCGTTCTGACTAAAACCAGGAAGATAGAGCACATGACACCAGTTCTAACGTCCTTCACTGGCTCCCTGTAGCTCAGAGAATAGACTTTAAGACACTGTTGTTAGTTTATAAATCACTGAACCGTTTAGCGCCATAACGCATTAACGATCTGCCGTTGTTAAAGCAACCTTCCAGACCTCTCAGGTCTTCTGGAAAAGCAGCATTCAGCTTATATGCACCACAAATCTGGAACAAACGTCCTGAAAACTGCAGAACTATCAAAAACAGAGAGTTCCTTCAAATCAGGACCGACTCTCGCCTGGTTAGAGTTGCTTTTAAATAATCAATGAAAAGTTCACCAACATTTCTGACGTGTAGCGATGATTTTGATGATGCCACTCATCATCAAAATGTAATGTTTGTTAGTTTCTCAATAGTTCTCATGTGACGACTGACTTCCACTGAACTTTGTAACTGACAGCCACCTCAGCAGGCTATATTTACAGTAGTACTTAGTGCCCAACTAGCTAAGCTACTGTAGCTTTTATCTGCTAGCTAACACAGACATGTAGCCCACATGTTTACGACATATACTTCCTCTGCCAGTCACCAGAACATTGTTTTTCACATGAAGAGTTTGTACAAAGCCGTTTAAATATTGATTGTATCCCTGTAGCTCCTCCATTTGTGCTTACTAAGAAGTAAACTATGGCATAGTTTGATGCAGGAAGCTGCTCGTCCCATTGACATATTTTTTTTGTACGTCTCATACGGGTCGATCCCCACAGCAGCCATCTTGCTCATTTTCTCTCACACATTGGTCAATAGTGTCCACAGATTAGTTTCTTTTTGTTGGTCTGCTATTCATTATGCATGCACTTCAAATCAATTCAATTCAAAAATACTTCATTGATCCCAAAGGGAAACTAAACGTTGTTGTAACTCCTTAATTCAAAATCTTCAGAGTGACTGCATATGGTGATGGTTGTTGGCAGGAAAGATCTCTTGTAGCAGTCTGGATTACTATGAATCTGAAGAAGCCTCTGACTGAAGATACTGAAGAGAGCTGGCTCCTGAGGAGGACGGTCAGGTTGTCCATATTGAGATGCCTACTAAGATGGCGCAGAATCGCTTCCTGTTCAGACCAGTGGGAACTATGGCTTGTATGACTTTGTGTTTTTATGATGTAAAGAAATGAGCTACACCAGTAAACGTGCCATCTGTCCTGCCTCTGTTCCAGGCATGGTGCCCACGCCCCAGGTGTGCGTATCAACCCTGGTCACGGTGAGCACGATGGCGGTGGTGGACCTCTATCTGCTGGAGCAGAGCATGCTGGGAGCTCGCGGCATGTCTGGACCCAGCGTGTGGCAGTACGTGACGGTGCTGTTGGGAGACGCCTGCTTCCTGCTCGCCCTGCGCTTCGTCTCGGCCGGCGTGGTTTCCGAGGCGCAGTCGTCGCGCCGCGGTTTCGCCAACGCCTTGTGGTTCCTCTTCCTGTCGCTGCTGCAGCTGAAGCTCTTCTTCGTCTGCCACAACTACAGGCAGGAGCGGCGGCCGCCCGACCCGCTGGCCAGGAAGACGCTGACGCTGCTGCTGTCCATCTGCCTGCCCTCCCTGTTCCTCATCCTCACCGGCGCTGATCATATGACTCCTCAGCGCAGGAAGCAGGAAGTCCGGAGCCGGCTCCTGTGGGTCGTCGTCGACCTCCTGGACGTTCTGGACCTGCAGGCGGGGCTTTGGGAAGCCCAGGGCGGGTCTGGAGGCGTGGTTGAGCAGAGGCTGCCGATCTGGGCGGAAGGCCTGGTCTTCTTCTACTGCTACGCGCTTTTGCTGCTGCTGCCGTGCGTGGCGCTAACGGAGCTGGGCGCCACCGGGCTGCCCGGGCAGAGGGGCCCCCGCCGGGAGGCTCTGTACCCCTGGCTCAGCTTGGTCACCATCAACATTTTCACCCTGGCTCTTCGGGGAACCGGCATGCTGTGGTACAGAGACTCCCGCGTGTCGACTGTGTTTCTAGGGAAAAACTTATTGGCGCTGGCCGTGAAGCTCAGCTCAGCATGGGAGAGACACAAGCAGGAGCGCGGCGCTTCAGGAGCCGGAACCGCGCCTGGATCGGAACCAGAAGCTTCCACCGCGCCGCCGAGCCAGAACTCAGAGCAGGACGAGGGCCAGGCTCAGGGGAAAGCTCCTCCTGCTCATTTCCACACACTAACACGCTCACAAAGCCACACTCTGTCCCACGTCAGCCTGGAGCCGACGGCGACCCCTCTGGGCCCGTCTTTTATCTCCCATGAACTGTAGAGAATCACACCCAACATGCATGCATGCAAATACTGTATGTGCGCACACAGAGACGTTACAAACCCTCCAGCAGACCAGAGCCGGCGTCGCCTCCCAGCAGATAACAGCGGCGGGCAAAACGTGAAGCTGTGGAAATGCATTTGGCACGCTCGTCTGTTCGTGCATTACATCGCGCTGGGAGCAACTTGAAATGCATTGTTGTGATTTGTGGGAGTGCATTTTTAGAGTCAACACTGTGAACAGCACTGCCAGACTGTAAAGCGTATTGTAGAGATGTTGAAGCCTAGTGAGTACTCTCTGTTGTATAATGGAGGCTTAACTGCCTTACCTCTCTGTTTGTTGTCCTCTTTCCTCTCGACAAATATATTTTTAAACTTATTTCTACTTCTTGTTAAATATCCGTTAGTAACAAAGTTGAATTTTTACGGTTTTTTGGAGTAACTGGATCATTAGTTGCCAAAATCTGTGCTGTGACCTTTCAAAACGCATCTTCTGTCATTCCACATTAGAAAGATTGAATACAGAGACGAGGTGATGCTTCATTTTTCTTTTCCTTCGGTACCAAAGAGGCGAGATTGAACATCTAAAAGAAGAAACTCCCACTGTACCCTTCTGCACTGTGGTTCATTGTTTTAGTGTAAAGTTTAACCCAGGAGATGTTTACCTGGTTAGGTAATTAAATTTTGTGAATGGGCCCATTAGGAACATATTTACTGGGAACAGCCTGTGTTCAATACTTATTTTCCCCAGTCATTGATGAGATCTGAGCGAGTCAGCTGATCCAGAAACTCTTCATCACTTTGAAGTTTCTGGATACGTCTTACTGGACGAAAACCCCCAGGCCGACCCAGAACCCATCTCCCTTCTGGCCCAGAAATGCTCCAGAACCCCCTATGGGCTTATTACCACCACAAGAAGTGGGAAGGAATGCTGGATGGAAGTACAAACTTTTACTTTTAGCAATCGTGTCTTATTTTAGCGAATCTTAGAACTTCTAGAATGCAAACCGCAAAACCAAAAAGTTTAACCAAGTATTTTTGATCCAGCTTCCTGTGCAAATATTTTATTACGTTTGAAATGAGACAAACGGGTAACTCTTCATTTGAAGGGGTTTGGAATAGACTGACGTGTTATGAACATGAAGGAGTCTTCATGAATGTTTAGGACTGCAGTCATCACCTGTCATTCAGTAAATTAAGCCACTTTTAATGAAACCTTTAGTGTGACATTACATTAAAAGTGTCATTATTTACCGAATGACGCTTCACGACAATCACAAACATTCATGAAGATTCCTTCAGGTTCATTACATGTCAGCTTTTTTGAACAACCTTTCAAATAAAGTATTACTGACAAAACCAACCCAGAAGTAACTTTTCAGAAAGTATAGAAGCTTGATTTAGAGCAATAATTCCTTCATATTGGTGAAAAAGCACTAGTTTTACCTTGTCTGGCTTGAAGTGCTAGTACTTTTTAATCTATATCAAAGTATAATTTAGGGGGAGAGTGACAGCAGTTTTGTGGACAGTTATTGATTACCGATATTTAAAAAGCCCGATCTACTGATTTTGTCTGATACTGATTTTGTTTTGCCTGAAATGCTGTTAAATGTAGCAAGAAAGTTGCGGAGTTGGTAACAGTGGGGTGACGATTGTTAACCGTAAACGTTGAGGCATGACCTGGTGGGACTAAAAGAGGACAGTGATTGATTTCTAGACCTTTCAAAATCGGTGAATAAGATCGGCTTCAAATGCAAATATTGCCCGATCAAAATTAACTAAAACGGGGCCGATTTTTCCGTGCACATCTAAAGTGGAACTTGTACTTGTCATCAACGATAAACTACTACTGACTTAAAACAAGCTGCTAAATATCAGAACAAGAAAATGTAAAATTTTTTATACTTAAATAGAGAACAAGTCTTTAGCCTTTAATCTCAATGCCACTGATTTATTTTGGTCATGTCGAGAAACTTTCAAACTCTTCTGAATGCTGACCTTTATTTCAGCATTAAGGGAAAAAGTCAAGTAACTTACACACATGAACTGGCAGGTGATTGGGCTAAAAAAAGGAAAGAAAAACAAGAAATCGATAAAACCTCCAGTTTTGTCACGTTTCTACCAGGCTTGTCACACGGCCAGAATAAAGAGGTGAAATTAAACACGTTCAACCTTTTCCTGAAGATGTATGTGACTGGTTTTCAGCATCAAAATCACTTCTTTTTAAAGGATTTGGTCACTTTTTGATTAATACAAAACAACAAATAAAATATAAACATAATGGTACAACAACAGGAAGTTTGTCAAGTTATCTGAAAGGCTTCCTGGCCTCGTCTATCAGTCAGTGAGTGTGACATCAGATCATGGTGTCCATTTAACCCACCATTGGGTTCGTTGCTCCAGAAAAAGGGAAGATTAAATGAAATCACTTCCAGTTCCTCCTCTCTGGATAAAACTTTGGAGGAACCAGGAGTTATTTAGTTCAGGCAAAATCTGAAGCTGCATCTTTGCTGTGATTTGCATAATAAGTCAGAGACCCTGAAGTGATTTTAGCTCAAAAGTTTACTCTCACAAAGACTTGAGTTAAAGACCTAAAATGTGTTGAATTTCTTTAAAAATCTTAATGACTGAATGATTATTTTTTCAGATGTTTCAAGGGACATTCAGAAACCATCCATCTGCTTTGGTTTGTCCATTTCAACGTCCTTAAAAACACAAAGTGGGTCAGAAAGCAGCCAAAGTCTAATGAAAACATGTAAGACTTCAGAACCACCTTAAAACATGACAAGGAAGTCCGGCTCCTTCAAAACAAGAAATAAGTAGTGGAAATATTATCCTAACTCATTTAACTCTGACTTTAAATAGAAAAACTAAGATGTCAGAATGAAAGATGCGTCTCTCAGTCTGTTTGCACGTCAAGCAGAACCCGAAACACACAAAACGCCGGTATTTTACTACGCTGTTTACAGGAATTGAGTAATCCCTTTACTGTTTTTTTAAAACCACGTTTGATGTGATTTGTACTTAACGCAGAGGCTGTCAGTCATTTTTAAAAACAAGAAGTAAAAAAAAAAACTTGCTTGTTGGAGCTTCTGATCTCTGAAGATGAAAGTTTTGGTTTCATTTTTTATTTCAGGAGTGATGGAGCCTTTCATCTGTAAATGTATCGAGACGTTGGGCGTCACAGGGTTGACATCTGCTGCTGTACGGTTAAGTGCCTTGTTTCCTCATGGAGCGACGAGAGGCACACCCGTTCGGTGCACCATGTGGAACTGGGTCAAAAACTGTGAGCCGGGTTCTGATGCACATTCAGAGTGAAAACTAGTAAACAAAGTGTCTCATATCCACCGGATGCTGACACTTCATTTGGGTTTGTGATGAATAAATACTGGGTTTAAAGCTAAAGCTGCGTTACAGATTTGTTCTGATTTTGTTAACGAATCATTAAAAACATTGGCAAATCATCAATTATCTGATTAATCACATTTTTCAAACAGCTTTGGTAGGGCTGGAGACATTCACTGAGCACATTGTCTGTAGAGGCTTTGTCCCTGATGTATCTATGGATCTTAGTTGTTTCGTCCTGGACAGTGGTTCTCACACTCACTAGCCCTCTGCCTCCTTCCTTGCGGCTCGTGTTCAGCCTCAGGGTGCTGGTTTTGGGGTGGAACCCTCCATGCATTGTTAGTAGTTTTCTAGTCTTAATATCTGGAATATCTTTTAGTCTGTAGCTTGGAAACAAATATCAACATCCAACAGAACAAAACTGATCCATCCTATTTTATTTGCTTTAGATCACTTTTATTTCAAAATGATTTCTAACTGCGAGCCAAAACTAAACACGAAGAGAATTCATTCAACTTCTATGCACCACAAATCTGGAACAAACTTCCAGAAAACTGAAAAACAGCGGAAACGCTGAGTTCCATTAAAGAAAGGCTAAAACCACCTGTTTAGTGTTGCTTTTGAACCATAATTAATGAAACATTGATCAACATATTTGATGTTTATTGATGATTTTAATGATGGCACTCGACAAAATGTAATGTTTGGCAACTGATTTTCTCAATTGTTGCTTTTATTCACTATTTTTTTATGATGTAAAGCACTTCGAACTGCCTTGTTGCGGAAATGTATTGATTTATTGATAAACTCCACAATAATGACAGAAAATATGCCAGAAGGTTACATACATGTATGATTCAGGTCAAACTTTCACCAGCTTCTCGCGGCAGTTAATAAATTAAACCAGAATCTAAAAACTGCATTTTGATCTCAGTTAAGAAGAAATCTGTATAATTTGTTGCACCATAAAAGTCCAGCAGGAGCGGCAGGAAGTTTTCAGATGTGACTGAGTGAAATCAGGCGAAAAGCCGTCGTTTATCACGCCGGCGGCCCAGATCTTCTGGCTCAGAGGATCCGTCTGTCTTTAACGCCTCAGAAGGTGATGAGGGCCGTGTTTTAAGGGCAGCAGTAAAAGCGGGCCATCTTTTCTTTTTATGAATGCACCTGCTGCTCTCTTTTCTCAGCTTTCACAGCTTTTAATTGAAAGCGAGGCCTTTTTTTGTTGAACAGGAAGTGCTCATTTTAAAGCTTGATTTCAGAGGACGCATTAAGACTAATGCAGGCTCTGTTCATTTAGAGTCACTGCGGGGACGTTGACTCCGGATCAGGGAGAAGCCTCAGAGGGACAACCAACCTGGCAGACAGCATGCAGCCTCTGTCTTTCATCTCTCCCCCTCCTTTGTTCGCTCTACATTTCAAACACATGCACTCCGCATGCAGTCCCTGTTGGGCAACTTCTCATATTTCTATTACACTAAAAGCACCGGCTGCAAGGGCAGCAGCCGCGGAAAATGACTGCCTCCTAGAATTTGTTACACCTGTTAAGCTGCAGATACGATGCTCAGCATTTTCCTCTCACTCTCATGAGTTGCTCTTCAAGAAAAGCCACTTCTGTTTGCTTTCTTCTCTCCCTCCTCCTTATTATCCATTGTGCTAATTATTCCAAAAGCTGTCAGTTCCTCCTTTTGTCTCCGGTTCGCTCTTTTTATTTCTCTCGTTTGTTTAAATTTGCCCTGCAGCCGACAGGGAGTCTACCTCTCTGCACTTCCCTGTCAGGGGTGGTTAGTCAGAGCCAGGGAGAAAAAATGAGAAGAAGAGGATGGCTAAGATTAAAGGGCTGGGGCAGCTGCCCGAAGCAGAATGGCTCTCCACTGCCATTTATCTGCTGCTTCCTTCGTGTATTTAGAGCTGGAGCACAGAGCCACGACACAGCATCCTGATAACAATGACGTTTCCAACGAGAGGAGCCTTTAAACAAACATACGGCTTCGTTCTGCTTCGCTGAGTCCTTCCTGACGAAGCGCATCACCTCATTACTCCGATGCATATGAGCTCAAACGCACCTATCTGCACAGAGAGGCCACATTTAACGGACAGATGTCTAAATCATTCATCTCGCCGTCAGCACCACTGCTTTGGGAAGAAAACTTCAAAGAAAAACTCTAAGAGAAGAGATGATGCAAAAGAATCTGATATGCAACGCAATACTGCGGGCGAACGAATACTAATGCAGGTCTCAGACGGAGCGGTGACATTTACCGTAGGGACCAATGAAAAAAAAAAACGTGCAATAAATTTCTATAGTTGTTTCACCAACCTGAAGTTGTTTAAAGGTTTTGATCTCTGAGAATTTAATTCACAAAGAAGATTTTTTTTTTTACAGAAAGTCAAATGAAAGATGAAGGATTACGTTCCCAACTTCCACAAGAGTTAACATCGATGTAAACACTAATACAGATTGTATTTTAAGTGTAACTAGATTATTCCGACGCATCACCAGATAAAATCTCTGAAAAGTCATAAGTAAAACTTGTGAAACTCATTTTAGAAACTTTAAATCCCTAAAGCTTGATTATGTAATTTTTATTTAATATATATGTTTTTAAATATTTGTTTTGATTACTAAAAATCACACTCTGAAATCCTTCTTTTAGAATATATTTTTGCAGACTTTCTAATACAAACTATTTAATCTTTGCTTAGTTTAAAATCTCTTGTCAGGCTTGAATGTTTATTTATCTCGTAATCAGACAATAAAATAGGCTGTTGTTAATTCAGAGATTGGTATTTCTTGAGGGAATTTAAAGGAGCAGAAAAGTGAACTTGAAAATATAAAAAGCAGAGATAACAGAGGAGGCCTGCTAATGGAAAATAAAAACTGTAGCTGCAAACGAAGAGCAGGACACAGACATAAAGAGAGAAATTCACAAGAGGAGAGAAAGGGCAAAACTCTAAACCTAAAACAATAATTGCACTCTAAACATTGTAAATATAAAGGGAAATGTCTGACTCATGATCGGATGCATAACCTCTAATCTGTAGAACAATGTGAAGCGGAGCAGCCGTCCTGCACGGCTTCCTGTTCCTCATGTTTATTAATGATGGAAAGCAGAAACGACCAGATGAATCCTGAAGCTGCTACAGGATTTCTGTCGACTCAGATTCATCAAAACGCTGCAAAGCTTTGATTGATGAAATGACGCCTCCGAATGCTAAGGATCTAAAACTCATCAGGAGGAAATTATTATCAGATTATCGCTAAACTAACAAGAAGAAAAAAGTAAGGAGATCGCCTGGATTACATGAGACATGATAAAATGTCTGTGACAAAACACGGCGGACAAACACGGCGTCGCATCAGTCACACTGATTGACGACAGAAAACAGAAACAACCAGATGAATTTTGAAGTGTTTACAGAGTTTCTGTCTGCTCAGATTTCTGTGTCTGGGTGCAACTTCTCTCATCAAATAAGTAAGTCAAATGTTTATGATCAGATTAAACTTATTGAAAACACAACTGAGAGCAAAATAGGAAACACTTTCCGACTGCGCAGACAGTGGGTCAAAAAGCTTGAAAAGAAGCAGCTTAAGGATGAATCACAAGTAATTTAAAGGTATCGGGTGAGAAATAAACCCAGTTCCACCTTTAAATATAAACACGGGGAAATAAAAACAAAAACTAAACATCAGAAATATTCACGAAATGGTAGAAAAGGCTTTTAAATATTCCCCTTCCACAGATTATGAGTAATTCAACAACTTCACAAAAGTCCACTGAGTGAATCTAAAATATCCATGAATGAACGGGTCAGAAATCCTTCTGGTTTAATGAGGAAAAGGCAGAAATGTGTTGTTTTCCTCAGGAATGAGAGGTAAAAGTCACCACTTTGCTAAAAAGCAGAGACTTCAAGGAGCAAAGGCGCCATAACGGACTGGAGACTGAACTTTAACACTTAAAGTCTATTGATAAAAAATATCATGTGTATTGTTTTATTTTCCATAGGCTAATTTTTTAAGAGTTTAAACTGTTACAAAAACTCCCTGAAAACCAGAGATGAGCAAAAACGACTTGGTTCACGCAGCCTTTAAATTTAAACAGTTTATTCCTATTGTGTTTCACCCTTTTTTCTTAGTTTTAATTTTAAAACGTCCTTCTGCTCATACAGTTAGGGCCAGAAATATTTGGACAGTAACACAATTTTCGTGAGTTGGGCTCTGCATGCCATCGCATTGGATTTGAAATGAAACCGCTACAACAGAATTCAAGTGCAGATTGTAACGTTTAATTTAAAGGGTTGAACAAAAATATCTGATAGAAAATGTAGGAATTGTACACATTTGTTTACAAACACTCCACATTTTAGGAGCTCAAAAGTAATTGGACATATAAACATAACCCAAACAAAAAGTTTTTTTCTCAATATTTGTTGCGAATCCTTTGAGGCAATCACTGCCTTAAGTCTGGAACCCATGGACATCACCAAACGCTGGGTTTCCTCCTTCTTAATGCTTTGCCAGGCCTTTACAGCCGCAGCCTTCAGGTCTTGCTTGTTAGTGGGTCTTTCCGTCTGAAGTCTGGATTTGAGCAAGTGAAATGCATGCTCAATTGGTTAAGATCTGGTGATTGACTTGGCCATTGCAGAATATTCCACCTTTTTGCTCTCATGAACTCCTGGGTAGCTTCGGCTGTATGCTTGGGGTCATTATCCATCTGTACTGTGAAGCGCCGTCCGATCAACTTTGCAGCATTTGGCTGAATCTGGCTGACAGTATATCCCGGTACACTTCAGAATTCATCCGGCTACTCTTGTCTGCTGTTATGTCATCAATAAACACAAGTGACCCAGTGCCATTGAAAGCCATGCATGCCCTGCCATCACGTTGCCTCCACCATGTTTTACAGAGGATGTGGTGTGCCTTGGATCATGTGCCGTTCCCTTTCTTCTCCAACTTTTTTCTTCCCATCATTCTGGTACAGGTTGATCTTTGTCTCATCTGTCCATAGAATACTTTTCCAACTGGGCTGGCTTCTTGAGGTGTTTTTGGGCAATTTAACTCTGGCCTGTCTATTTTTGGAATTGATGAATGGTTTGCATCTACATGTGAACCCTTTGTATTTGCTTTCATGGAGTCTTCTCTTTATTGTTGACTTAGAGACAGATACACCTACTTCTCTGAGAGTGTTCTGGACCTCAGTTGATGTTGTGAATGGTTCTTCTTCACCAAAGAAAGTATGCGGCGATCATCCACCACTGTTGTCTTCAGTGGACGCCCAGGCCTTTTTGAGTTCCCAGCTCACCAGTCAATTCCTTTTTCCTCAGATGTACCAGACTTTTTTTTACTTTTGTACTGTCTCTCTCTACTGCATGGCCATCTCTCTGATGGATTTTTTCCTTTTTTTCAGCCTCAGGATGTTCTGCTTCACCTCAATTGAGAGCTCCTTTGACCGCATGTTGTCTGGTCACAGCAACAGCTTCCAAATGCAAAACCACACACCTGGAAACAACCCCAGACCTTTTAACTACTTACTTGATTACAGGTTAACGAGGGAAAGGCCTTTTGAGTTACTTGCAGCCTTTGGAGTCCATTGTCCAATTACTTTTGGTCCCTTGAAAAAGAGGAGGCTCTGCATTACAGAGCTATGATTCCTAAACCCTTTCTCCGATTGGATGTGGAAACTCTCATATTGCAGCTGGGAGTGTGCACTTTCAGCCCATATTATATATAAATTGTATTTCTGAACATATTTTTGTCAACAGCTAAAATAACAAAACCTGTGTCACTGTCCAAATATTTCTGGCCCTAACTGTATGATGCCTTTATTTACTCTTCTAATTGTATTTGCAGTTTTGGCAATGAGCCTCA